TTGTATGAAATTTAATCAACGTTTGTGTGTGTGGTAGTCGAACTTTCTTAACAATATTTTAAAAATTTTGCAATTTCTATTTATGTGATGATAAAAAATTATAATATATAATATAGAAAAAATGAATAAGTATACTTAGTTTTTTTTTTTATTCTTCCAACTATAGTACTTAGGTGAGTATAATTTATTCATTTCTCTGTCTGTGTCATTTTTATTTTACCTTTTGAACGGGAAAAACGACGTTGTTTTCCTTTCATTCGTACAAGCACCTTGTTTTTGTCCTTATTTTTATCATTATCCTTATTTTCGTCGTCCTTTCCCATCCCTCCCATCCTTCTGTTTTCTCCCTGTTTTCAAGTTGCGTGTATATTTTGTTCAGCGATAGACCTGTTGTTGTTGGTGAGTTTCATTTTTACTTTTATTTTGTTTTTCAATATATTTCCTATTGTTCGGGTCTTGGAAGTGTATGTATTTTTTTGACTTCTTTTGTTCGAGGATATTGTTTTCAATGTGCATACTCTTAGTTATGTTTCAAATTTTATTAAGTTGATTTTTGTGGTTTCTTTGTTTCAGCAATATAATGGGTAAGCAATATTGGACGCCTACATCTACACAACTTCAAGTTCTCGAATCTATATTTAATCAAGAGAATACAACCCCAAACAAGTAAAGGATCACGCAGATAGTCTCCGAACTATCGTTGCATGGGCAAATCTCTGATATGAATATTTATAATTGGTTTAAGAGTAGACGTGCTCGTTTAAGAAGGCTAGACTTATCCACACAAGCACACGATTTTGAACTTGTAATTCAGCCAATGGTACAAAAAGACAAATTGCGTAAAAGACATATAGGTATGATTTGTTGTTTAAATGTGATTTCTTGTTGATTTAATATTTTTTACTTTCTTTTTTACGTCATTTTAACATAAATATTTGGTATTACAGAAGTATCTACAAATTCTATACATATGCTAGGAATAAGGATAAAATACTGTCCTGAGTTCACAGCAGGCTTCGTAGATTGAATATTTTTTTATAATTTTTTTTGCATCTGGCTATTTATTTGGTCATGTTGTAGTGCACTTTCTTTCATCTTATTTTGTAAAATTATTTTTAATCCAATTTTTGCACTTCCGTTGTCTTTCAGCGATCTTATACTAATTTTATGATTCTAGATTCTATTGATCAGTCTGTGGAATTACAGAAGGATCTTCATATTGATGAAATCATTGGCGTGGAAAAGCAATTTGAAAATGACAATATACAATCTCAAAGTGGTTCATATGTTCCTCTCATTTTAGATCGTTCTAAGAGAATTGATATACGAAATATTCAAGTTGAACCTTATATTCTTCCATCTTGTACAATTTGTAAACATTGTGGTGCAAAAAAGTTTTAAAAAGAAAGTAAGAGTTTTTGTTGTTGTGATAGAAATGTTAAATTACAGATGAACAGTGTTCCCCCTGAATTGTATGAGATATTTACTTCTATTTCATGTAAGACGATTGCTTTTAAAAAAGTTGCTCGTACTTATAACAACCATTTTGCATTAACTTCATTTGGTGTTAAATATGATAAAATTTTGTGCAACAATAATAGATGTGTGTATACGTTCAAAGTTCAGGAACAGGTATACCATTTTATAAATCAACTTCTACCAACTGATGACTGCGTATTTGCAGTTATGCTTTTACGATACTGATAATGAAATTAGTAATAGACTACAAATTTCAGATAGGTTAAGTGAATCAACTTTGAAAAAGTTAATAGATATCTTAAAGATGAATCCATATTGTCGTTTCTTTCGATCATTAAGTAAAGTTTCTGATTTTAATTCATGTTGTATCGTGCTGAGGTCTGATCCTGGTCTCGACCAGAGAGTATATAACATGCGATCATATGAACAAGTGGCTGCAGTGTGGGTTGATGAGGATCCATCTGCAAACATAAAGACTCGTGATATATTAATTTATGGACATTTCAATACTGCACATAGAGTAAATTACTACTATGACTGTTATGATCCACTTCAATATCTATTAATATTTACCTATGGAGAACCTGAATGGCATGAAAGTATTGAAAAACTAAATTTGAATACTTCAATAGTCCATGAAGATTTCATACAAATCAACCACATTGATTCGACCGAACAACTTATAGAGATGGAAGATCGTGGTAAGCTTTATTACCATTGAAGTTCTTTAATATTTTTAGAGCACATAAATGTATTGTCATTTCTATATCTATCTTTGTGACTTTAATTTTTTTTTCCTTTCAGTTAAGAAGAGAAGTAAGAAACGATTTATTGTATCGTGCCGTGAATATTTTTGCTACAAACTTCAAATCAAACTTTCAAATAAGTCTGTACTCCTTTATACAGACAGACTTCTACAACAATATATAGTAGATATGTATGTTAACATTGAAACTGCGAGATTGTATTATTTTCATAATAATCAAAAGACTATACGATGTGAACTTTAACAAGGAATTGTAGATAGTATATAAAATGGTGAGAATAGAGACTATAAAATTCGTAAATCAATTGTGTTGCCTACAGGGTTTATTGGGGGTCCTAGAAATTTAACTAAAAGGTATATGGATGTAATGTGTTTAGTTCAAAGATATGGAAAACCTGATGTATTTTTAACAATGACATGCAATTCAAATTGGTCTGAAATTAAACAAGAATTGAGGTACAATGATAAAATACAGAATAAGCCAGATTTGTTAGCTCGAATATTTCGAGCAAAACTTGAAGAACTAAAAACAAATTTAATAAAGAGAGAAATTCTAGGGCATATAGCTGCCTATGTGTATGTAATTGAATTCCAAAAAAGAGGTCTACTTCATATTCATTTTCTCCTGATATTTAAAACGAGTTTTATGATTACTAATTCTACGCAAGTTGACGAAATTGTTTCTTGTGAAATACCATATCCAAAGAGAAATCCTCACTTGCATGCTACTGTGGTCAAACATATGATGCATGGTCCTTGTGGACAATTAAATCCTACAAATATGTGCATGAAAAATAACCATACTTATAAAAATAAGTATTCAAGAAAATTCATTTTGCATACTTCATTAGATAGTGATTTATATCCACTTTATAGGCATCGTAATGATGGTGTTACTGTTAGGGTCAGAGGGTCTGTACTAGACAGTAGATGAGTTGTACCATATAATCCTTATATTATGGCTAAATATGACTGTCACATTAATGTTGAAATATGTTCTTCAGTTAAAGTAGTCAAATACTTATACAAATATGTATACAAAGGACATAATCGTGTTAATTTTACTATGAATAAAGATTCCAAGGAGCATTATATTGATGAGATTTCGAATTATCAAACCGTTAGATGGATATCTGCACCGGAAGCTATATGGAGGATTTTTAGTTTTGATTTATTCGACATATCTCCTTCTGTAGTTTCTTCGCAGTTACATATTGAAAATGATCAGTTGGTTACATATAATGAAACAGATGATTTATCAGAATTTATAAATAAATACTTCATCCAACGAACAATGTTAACTGAATTTTTTAGAATGAATATTTTAAATGAAAAGGCAAGAACTTTGTTTTATAAGGATTTTCCTACATACTTTGTAAGCAATACATATTTTCGAGTTTGGAGTCCTAGAAAAAAGTAAAATGTTATTGGTAGAATAATTGCTGTTAATCCATCTGAGGGCGAGAGATACTTTCTAAGAGTTTTATTGAATCAGGTTAAAGGGCCTAAGTCTTTTCAAGATTTAAGAACATTTAATAACATTGTTGTGCCAACGTATCGCGAAACTGCATTTTTACATGGTCTAATAGGTGGGAATAATTATTGTGAAATGTGTTTAAATGAGGCGATCACCTATCAAATGCCTACATCATTATGTCACCTATTTGCTAATATATTAATTTTTTGTAGCCCTAAAAATCCTAGAAATTTATGGGTTAAATTTAAAGTGTACATGATAGAAGAATTTTTACATGCAAGCATGACAGTATGTGATGTCGAGGTTAGGGCTTTGAGATGCATAAATTCATTCTTGGAAGTTTTTGGTACAAACATAAATGATTTTGGTCTGGTAGATTTTGACATTATTGTACGATGCGGATGTGTTAGCAAACATGATTTTAAAAGAGACTACAAATATTAATGTTCAGTGTGACATGTATTTTACAGAGAATTTAAATAAAGAACAATAATCTGCCTATAATGTTATTTTAGACTGTGTTGTAAATAATAAAAATGAAGTTTTTTTTATTGATGGTCCAGGAGGTACTGGAAAAACTTTTCTGTACAAGGCATTACTTGCTACAGTAGATCTCGACAACTTATTGCATTAGCAACAGCATCATCGGGAGTGGTTGCTTATTTTTTACCGACTGGGCGAACTGGTCATTCACGTTTTAAAATCTCACTTCAAACAAGTTCTGATATGCGATATTCAGTAAGTAAACAATCATTACTTGGTCAACTTTTACAAATGACAAAGCTAATTGTGTAGGATAAGCATCAATGATTAATAGATGTGTTTTTGAAACTTTTGATAAAATGTTAAAAGATATTACTGAATGTGAATTGCCATTTGGCGGAAAGGTTGTTGTGTTCGGAGGAGATTTTCAATAAGTGTTGCTAGCAGTACAAAGAGGAACAAAAGATGATATCATGAAGGTCAGTTTAGTTTTTTTTAGATTTATGGCAATATTTTACACAACTACCGTTGACCGAGAATATGAGAGCTAAATTAGATCCTTTGTTCTGTAAATATTTACTTAGAATTGGAAATAGTATTGAAAGAAAACATACATGTCACATAATTAAGCTTCCTTCATATATAATAATAGATTTTGAGAGTGAATTTGAATCATTGAAAAAACTAATTGCTATTGTGTTTCCTAATTTTCACACATATGGTGACAATTTGAATACTATGATAAATAGAATTATTTTGACTCCAAAAAATGTACATGTAGATGTAATAAACAATATGTTAGTTAAAGAAATTTCAAGAGAGATATTTACGTATTTTAGTTTTGACGAAGTAATTGATAAAATAGAAGGATTTATTCATGATGACTTTTTGAAAAGTCTAACTCCAAATGGCATCCCTTCACATGAACTTGTACTAAAAAGAAATCGTCCTATTATGTTGCTTAGAAACATTAATCTTTCAGAAGGTTTGTGTAATGGGACCAGATTTATTTATCGAGAATTTAAACGAAATGTTATTTTAATCGAAACTGGAATATGTGAATATCGTGGAAAGCAAGTATTTTTACCTAAAATTCCATTTATTCCACTTGAAGGAAGTAAGCATTTAGTACTATTTAAGAAAACTCAATTTTCCATTCGTCCTTATTTTGCAATGACCATTAACAAAGTTCAAGGTCAAACTTTAGATTTCGTTGGACTATATTTGCCTGAACCTGTCTTCTCACATGGTCAGTTATATGTCGCTTTATCTAGAGCAAGAACAAGAGAAAACATAAAAGTTATAATAAAGTCTATTGATAAAAAAAATCACACAATTGTTGCACAAAAAATGTAGCCTACCTTGAAATTTTGAATTTGATACATACTACTTAACAAGTCTATAATTACAAGTTTTGCTTAATTGGACTGCCAATCTATTGTTAGCTTAAAAGAGGATATTTTCTCTGCTAATTCATCTTTTGTCAAGAAGAATAACATTGAGCTATACAAGGTTAGCTATTCTTATAAGTTATTTTATGCGTTTCAATTATACTTGTTAGTACGATTTATTCTTCAACATGGTACATACAAAATGGTCAAATCATTATCTTTAAACATGCCCTTCATAATATTCCATGTTCAACATATCTTTATTTATTTAGGTCTAAGTAGTCTTATTTTATATACACACAAACTGACGTGACAAGATACCAAAAGAATGATAAAAAAACACAAGCATATTACATAATATTCCAATCAGTATATTCTTGTTATCTACTACAATTATGACTTATGAGGATGAAGAAAGTATTCATTATTACAAATGTCTACTGCAATCTTTCGTTTATATATGCTCATCATATCCGACGAAACTGATTCAATTGCATATCCCAAAACAAATCATTCTATATATTTGAGCACGAAAATTCCACAATTAGGCCTATGGAAGAAATAGTTTAGTGTTAGATTAAATGGCTAAGTTCAGGAAATTAAATATTCTACTAAAAAACAAGTCGCTTAAATGTTTACCCATTGTTTTCATAATTTAGGTAGGGTATAATCTCCTGATCCATTTGTTTATTTCTATGTTTCCTTATATCTCGTCTAGAAGAAAAAGCTGCAGTCTTCAATAATGCTTGTACCATAGTCAATGAAGCTTTTGCATGTGCTTTTACTTGATCCGGTGTATGGACGTTATTACTGCAATCATATATTTGAAATTTTTATTCAGGAATATTGACAAGGAAAATATTCCAATTATTGCCCGGATATGAGCACGAAATTAATATATACTTGTATCTTATCCAAGGAGGACCAAATATAGGTGCTTTGCCATTCACATAACTTTGCAAAAGAGTTCCATCAGGTTCACCTCTGGTGGTTCCCATTCCTGTGTCAATATGCCACGTCATGTGACGAGCACATTGCATTTCAAATTTGAAATCCATAATTGCATATTCTTTTCAAACAAGTGGACAACTATCATTCATGAGCCGCCTCAATAGTTTTAACTCTAGCTTAATGTTCTGATGAAATAAATAGATATAAACTAGATTATATATATCGAATATGAAATAAAATCTATTGTAATTCATAGACTTTATTTACAACATATTTATGTCATGTGTTTGATCCATTAGAGTTTTCAACATGTCTCTTTCGAAGACATTGTTACTGTCATCGTCCAAGTATACACTGTATGACATAATTTTAATTAATTTCAAATAAATCAAAAGAGAACTTGAACATTTGAGCTAATACAAGTACAATTAAATTTGTTACCCAGATTGATTCTCCAATATAAAATTTCTAATTTTTATGTATATTTCCATAGGATAGTCTTCCAAAGGACGACCTGATGATGATGATGACTGTATTTGTTTCCCCTTGTTTTTCTTCTCTTTTATCGACCTTTCAGAGCTTTCAATTTGTTCAGCTGTTGATATCTCCTTTGGTTTATCGCAAAAAACAACAGTTGTATCGAGAGGGACATCTTGTTGCATGGAAGTTCAGTGTTTCCTGTTTTTGTTCATTGACATAGGATCTCATTGAACTTAAACTGGTGCCAATATAAGATTGCATACCCTGGTATACATCTTCCTGCCACTTCTGTTGCTGTTGAAAAAATTACCTTTGGTTGTCAAGAATCATTTGATAATGACGTTGCATGTAATCTTCTTGCCATTTTCTTGCTTCTCAAATAACTGTTTTTGGTTTTCAAGAACCACATGGTAGTGAGCTCTTGATTATTCAGCAAATTTTGCCTTCAAGTTGCTGTATACACCAGACATGTCTGATGCTATGTGTTTCCTGTAGATACCCAACAATTCTTCCATTTTATCTTTACTTAGGGAGTTGGAGCCACTAGGAACAGAGCTAAACCCAAATACAGGTAAAGATGTAGAAGTACCGGGAATCGTCGTTTCTTGCACATATATATTGTTTGGGATTTGTTGTATTGCATTATCCAATACTCCATTTAAAATCACATCTAATCTACTGTGTCCATTATCTACTGGCAATGAAAGAGTTCTGGCAATCACTTGGATCTGTAATCAAAATGAAATACCAAAATCGTTTATTTTGAATTTAATTTAATTTTAAGATAATTGAATGTGAGAGTAATTGTACATTCATAAAAACATACTTTACGAGTAGACAAAAATATCCTTTATCTCTTTTTCAATTACAAATTGGTTGGATTTCCACTTGTACATTCTTGGACTCTGTGGTGTTTTATGCCTATGACGTCCAAATTTCTTTCCGATCTTTGGAAATGCTTTATATATCTAATATTGCAAGATAATTAAAAATAATTGTACATAATAATTCAATACAAGAATAGTGACTAATTACCTGGAATGCAAGTGGATACCCATGTAACGTATACTTGCATTCTGTTTGTTCATTCCATTGCATCCTTTGCATTCTTTCAGATTGTGATGCTTCTTTGTGACCCCATGAATATGCAAGAAACTCATCCAGATGCTCAACCATGCCAAGAGTTCTATAATCAATTTGTCTTGCAGTGGGTGTCAACACACATTCGACCAACATGACTAAACCAAGCTTCAATTTATCTTCTTCATGTTCGCACGCATGGAATGCTTAAAAAAGCATTCTCATACTGATTCATTTTTTGCCATTAAAGTATTGATTTCTAAGACGATCATTTGTATCATCAATATCCATGGATGGTTCATGGCAAGGTAATCTAGTAATAAGACAAAATCCTTGCATACCAAACCTGGCTACACGGTCGCCTAACCTTACCCAAATTTCATCATTTTCCCACAATTCACAAGCCTCAATATAAATTCATGCACCAACCTACTACTAAATTGTACATTTTTTCCTTTGTAGAAAACTCCATAAAGAAACCCATAAAAATTACTGCACATCAACGAAAATTGTTTATTGGAATCTATAAATTCTACAAAGTCTTTAAGATATTCGAAATTTGGATACTGGATAATTGTAGCGGAAAACCATTGGTCTGAAGAAATTATATATTCTAGAGATATCTGCATAAATTATTCAAAAAATCATAACGTATATATGAATGAATCTAAGAATTAAAAATAGAGAAACTTTTATTAAGAGTTCTAAATAAACATTATATCTTCATAGTCTATACATGCATAAATATTGTAAAATTGATAATAAAATATCTTATTTCTGTGTCTAGACAGTCCAGACAATTCGTGACATGAAATTAGGCATAGAAACCACTATATTCATAATACGGAGGCTTGGGAAGCTAAGGCTTCCATGCTACGGAGGCCCAAGCCTCCATATGGCTTCCATAATCACGGAAGCCTTATGGGTAAAATTGTTACCCATACACATAGATCTGTGCATATTTCTTTCATTGTAAATTTTTGGGTAAAATTGTTACATTTTTTAGCCATTTTCACAGCTTCTCCTGTTTAAATCTATGGGTAGTTTCTCTTGCTAAATGTATAGACTTCTGGAACTCAATTTTTAGACAAATAATAAATGAGTTATAGACCAACCACAAGATAAAAAGGTATTACACGTGAGTTGTATATTTTTGTTGTTTTATGCATTTGGTCAATAATCAATGAAGTAATTTTGTTGTGTTATGAAATATAAACTATTCACACGTTTTATACAATCTCAAATCTACATCTTTGTTTGAATTCTTCAATATCATACACAAAATCATACATCAACATATTCAAGTATATTTAGATATTTACAATTCAATTTATTTAAGTTAAATAAATAACTAAATCAAATTTTCCTTCCATTACAATGAAGGTTTGTAGCCCCCCGGTGAATACAACTTCATTTAATTCAGAGTCATTCTTGTACTATGTTTAAACCTTTGTCAACCCATATCCATGTTCAGTCATTATGAATCAATAGAGTATGAGTATGATAAGATTTTATCGTGTACATCCTGATCTTTTTTCTTTTTTAAAATTTGACGTCATTTTATTAAATTTATAATAGGGAGAACGAATAAAATATAGTTTTACATATTTTGTTCTGAGTATAAATCCTTGAACTCAAGCTATTTCTGTACTATCAGTAAATGAATATTACAAGTAATTCCCATTTCTGTACTATCAGTAAATGAATATTACAAGTAATTCCCATATCTCATGCAGACAACAAGGTATGACAGTATATGGCTAATGATAAGATTTTAAGCAGGACATAGTTGTTCTACTTTTTATAAAAATAAAATAAAATTAAGAAAAGAAGATAAAGTACGGGAAACCGAATATGATATAATTTTACATATCTATATATATCTTCTTTTATTTGTCAATTGGATATCTCAAAATTGTTTGCAATAGATATCTTCCTTTTGTGTGTATTTTACCTCTATTATTCTGTTGCAAAATTGTCACAATAGAAGAACAGTACCAGCTTCTACCAGAAATTATTTCCAACAATCAAAAGTGGAAAGCTAAGATGATTGTAGTTGAAAAAAATCATCAAAGCCTTCGAGACAAGGCAATGGAAGGTACCAGCATTTGATGTTAATGGATACTCAGGTAACTCTTCTTCATACATTTTTTCTTCATTTCTTTTTGTTTTGTTTATTTTCTTAATCTAAGATCACGTATATTACAGTTAATTATAAGGTTCCTCATCATTTTTCAGGATAATACTATTCAGACTTGCTTATATGATTCCAATATCACTGTTTTTGAGGATCAACTTGTTCTGGGAAAAACTTATACTATTTCGAAAGCTTATGTGAAGAACAATACGACAAACTATAGATATTCGACTGGCTCTCTACAATAGACAATATCTGAAGAAACTCGTATTGAAGAATTGAATGAAGATAATCTAGAGTTTGTATTCTCAATATATCAACTGACGCAGTTTCATGAAATCAAACAATACATGGATACAGATACTGATTTAAGTAAGATGAAATTTTATAGACTTTAAATAATCATTTACTGATTCTACAGAAATATAGTTTCTTTCAAATTTGTACTACTTGTGTTCAGAAAAATGAAAATTTGATGTCTCATTTCAAATTTTCAAATATACTTGTAGTTGCAGTTGATATGACGCCCAAACGATTGATTCAATACAAAGATGGCAGCCAAACTTGGTTGTAAGATATCATACTTCTAGATATGAATTTCAAAAAAAATGATGCTTACACTTTGGGATT